AAGTCCCTCGGCCCTTCAAGGGGAAAGGTTGCCTACCCCTGTTCTAGAACATGGCCGCACAGCCCGAAAAACCCACAAAAATCTAAGGAAATTGTTTCCATCCTAAACTAGTGACTGGTCTGTAATGAACTGAAGGAGGGAAAACAAACTGAAGTTTAATCCAGATAGTCAGTCAAAAGGCAGATTCAGGAATAGGAAATCCACCCGTGCTAGATGGGGTTACACTCTCACTGAAGATGCAGGTTCACAGTTTGGGTGTGCTAAACCCTAAGTTCAGCCCTGGACCAGACCCAGGTTTCAGCAGTGACCAGGAGTGCATTTGCACATTTAGAGCTATCATCTCAACTGCACCCATTCCTGGAGATGTTTGACTTGGCCACAATAACACATACAGTGGATACATCCTATTTAGAGTTTTGTAACATGCTGAACATGGGGCTGCCTTTGAAAAGTGCTCAGAAACTTGCTTAAAAAATTGCTGCCAAATTGTTAACTGGAGCTGGCTACAGGAAGCACACAACTCCCTCGTTGCAACAGCTCCCACTGGATGCCAGTTCATTTCCAGGGTGGAAAATAAATGAATAATAATATCAGACACTGGCAGATTCCAGTTCACATCAGCCCTTGCCATTAGGGATGAGTGGAGAAGTAATTAATAAACACTTAGGGGGCCATAGCTTCCCATTACCTGATATATTGTGTTGCATTAGGACTAATTGCATTTTATGTATTACCCATTATGAAAATTCCATTAGCACCCTCCAGATGCAAACAACAACTTAATGGCTGGAGTGATTTTTGTTGATACCATGCAAGATCTACCTGCTCTTATTCTAATTTAGGACACCTATGGCAGTAATAATGAATTGTTGTTGTGTCCCTTCAAGTTACTTCCGATATATGGCAAACCTAAGGTAACGCTAACATGAGGTTTTCTGGGGGTGAGAGAGAGTGTGACTCATCCCACCCTTTAGGTTTCTATGGCCAAGCAGGGAACTGATCCCTGATCCCCAGAGCTGTAGCCTAACACTCAAGCACCTACAGGCTCTTCACAATGAATACAAGAACATATATAACAAACTGTGTAGTCTGGACTTCACTGTAAAATGTTTTTTACATCCCAAAGTGTTATGTAAATTATAATGCCTGCAACAAAAATGTTGGCCCTTTGCTCTTAATTATTTATCCAGCATCACCAAAATGATCCTGAATTGCTGCCAAGAAAATTATGACTTTTGAGTCATACTGCTGCACAGGAAATGAACAATGTGATGGGAATGCAGCAAGGAAGGAAAGGGACAGGAAAATGTCATTGGCAATATAGTTCCCTTCTGTAAACACCGCTGCTCAAAAATTGTTGACCTATTGCTTTTAAGCACTGGACAGAAACCAAAACATTCTGTTAATGAAGATTAGCATCTTGATTGTCAGTTATGGAGAATGAATGTACTTAAATAGTCCATCACACGACCTATCTGACATGAGCAAGATGAAACAGGCTTGCTGAGTGTAGGTGAAAGAGTTCCAGGTACAAAGAGTATTTGGAGACCATGGCTAATTGTTATCCATCTATGCTATGCTAACTGAATATTGTTCTCTCTTCAGTAACTGACAAAATGCATTACATTCATCTGCTGTGGAACAGGTGACAGATGTTGTCTTTTTCCAGGACATGTCCTACACTTCAACCTTCTGTCCTGGAGGAATTTCAAAATGTCCTCCATTTTGAGTACAGCCTGCCTTCCCCAACTGCAGGCTTGCCATCTGCGGATTTAAGCATCCATGGACGGAGATCCCCATTGCCTTAATGGCCCCAGCAGTGGTCACACACGCATTTGTGGTTATTGAAAATAATGTGCCACATTATTACTACTGCTACTACTACTACTACTTTATTAAACTTATTTTTTTCTTCTTTTTGGAGCCAATGTGGTACAGTGGTTTGAGCACTGGGTTTTGATTCTGGAGATCAGGGTTCAAATCCTTGCTATTCCATGGAAACCTACTGCGTGACCTTGAGCAAGTCACACTCTCTCAGCCTCAGAGGAAGGCAAAGAAAAAGGCAAATCTCCTCTGACCAAATCTTGCCAAAAAATTCCTGTAATAGGTTCATCTTAGGATCACCATTAAGTCAAACAACTTGAAGGGACGCAACAACAAAAACAAACAACATGGAAGTTTCCACATAACAATTATCATGACAGCATAATGTATTAGTCAGTGCAATGTGCATAGAGTGCAATATTTTTCTTGGCATGGTTTGATCACTGTGCTAGAAAAAGCTCATCAGCTGAATTTTTCCATGTCCAACTGCCATTAAAAGCATAGGATCAGGTAACGTCTTTGATGAAGACATTAGAAACATTAACTTATAGTCAAAGCAGTTCTATACCTTGGCTCAGTCCTAAATCAAAATGGAAACTGTAATCAAGAAATCAGGAGACTAGGACTTGGAAGGGCAGCTATGAAGGAACTAGAAAAGCTCTTCAAGTGTAAATATATATCATTGAATACCAAAGTCAGGATCGTCCATGCCATTGTATTTCCAATTTTTACATATGGTTGTCAAAGCGGCACGGGGGGGGGGGGAGTAGACCAGGGGGGAGGGGAAATCATCCAAAATGTGATGTTGAGAGAGAGTTCTACAGATACCATGAACTGCCAAAAACTGACAAATTAGTCTGGGGGAAAATTAAGGCTGAACTCTCCCTGGAAGCCAAAATGACTAAACTGAGGCTATCATACTTTGGTGGCCTTATCATGAGATGACACGACTCATTAGAAAATATAACAAAAATACTTGGTAAGGTAGAAGGCACTAGGAAAAAGATCACATTCCAAGTGGATAGACTCAAATCAAGGAAGGCAAGGCTCTGGGTTTGTAGGACCTGAGCAGGGCTGTTGAAGACCCGGTGTCTTCAAGGTCTTTTGTTACTTTATAGGGTTGCCATAAGCTCCAGGTGTTTGCTCCAGTTATAGTAGCTCTGAGTCCCAAATTAGCACAGCTTAGCAGATCATAATGTTAAAATAACAATTAGTAAACAGAGAAGGAAAGCAACACAATGCCTCAGGACCTGGGGTTACAAAAGTTATTTATAATGAAGTGTCATGCTTGTCAAGAAGTAATGGATTAATGAAATTAAAAATAAACCTGTGGCAACAATTTAACTGATCGTTCCTTTGGTTGTTTGCAACCCAAACACTGATTATGCAAGACCTTCATGCACAAAGGTGTGGCTTACACTTTCCTTAAAGGCTGAACTCTTGACTGCTGGTAGAAACATTAAGCTGGGGGTGTTGGGGTGGAAAGAGAGAGAGAAAGAGGTCAAGATACTGGTGGTTTTTCTTTTTAGTACTATTTCTACAGAATAGTATAGTCACATTTTTGATAGAGTCAGATTTAGCTGTAGTGAGCCCTGTTGTACGGACAATGTTGCCTACACATCAACCAGCACAGAAATAAAAACAGAAATACTAGTAATACATAATGATTGTCGTTTCCTTCCTGCTGTTTCTATCTTAGGGCAACCTCACAAGGTTTTCTGGGGCTGAGAGAGTGTGACTTGTCTAAGGTGGGGCCTGGTGGGATTCCATGGCCGAGGGGGGAATTGAACTCTCATCTCCAGATTCATAGTCAAACCACACACCATGCTGATTATGTACTATGTATTAAGCACATAGGTAGTACTTTATTCAGATGTACAAACTACTAGTAGTATCAGTATGCTTATGCATCTCTTGGATCAATCTTTCCAGACAGTAGAAAACATTGTTCAATGTTGGTTTCTCTCCGGTTGTAACAATCGCTAAGGTCAGTGTTTATTTTATTTCCCTTCACCTGCTGATGTGCACTATGTCATTACAGCAATTTGATATCACTCTATTTGTCATGGCTCAATTTTAAATAATTCTTGACTTAAATAATTCTCTGTCAGACTGAATGCTCTCCTTTGGATGAGAAGCTCCAGTAAAGAATACTATAGTTCTCTAGCAGATAATTCTACCTCTCCAAATAACAAATCCTAGGATTCTATAAACTGGAATAACCATTACAGCAGAATCAAACTTTTGCAACAATGTAGTGTAGATATATTTGTATGTATAAAGGGCATGCATTTATGCTTTAGAAGTGGAACGGATTCCAGACTTTTCGGGGTGAGCAGTTAAACTTTTCTTCCCATTTATCACAACTTTCCAGGTGAGCAGAAGATTTTGATCTGCCCAGCAGATGGAGTCATTTGGTGACAGGGAGGAAGCATAATCAGGGCAGCCTTGTTGGCCATGCAGCAAAATACAACAGAATCCAAAATCCACAAAAAAGTGATATTGTTTTGAGCCAGCAGAAATGCACAAAATACATCAAGCAAGCTTTTGAAGCTCCATTGGCTCCTTCATCAGGAAAGATGTTAAAATTCATATAAGAGAAGAAAAGTTATGATGTCAGAGTCCCAGGCCTACATTTTGTCTCAGATGTGACTTGGATGTTATAGCATCTGGGATTATGTGTATATGTATATGTATGTGTGTATATGTGTGTGTGTGTGTGTGTGTATATATATATATATATATATATACGCATACACACACACACACACTTTTTCCCTTTCTACAACCTGGAATTATTGAACTAGTAACAGTATTTCAAAAAAATTAATCACAGCATCAGGCAAGATTTGTATTTTAATAGCGCCAGGCCACCTCAATTTTCATTCATCAACTGCAAAACAAAATTTTCAGAGGGGATAGATGTATTCCGAAAGCCAGCCTGGCATAGAGGTTTCAATATTGGACTGTGACTCTGGAGACCAGGGTTCAATTCCCTGCTTGGCCATGAAATCCACTGGGGGACCTTGGGCGAGTCACACACTCTCAGCCTCAGGGCCATGGCAAACCTCCTCTTAATAAATCATGCCAAGAAAACCCTGTGATAGGGTTGCCTTAGGGTCACCATAAGTACAAATGACTCGAAGGCACACAACAACAACAAAGCTGCATCCCATCTGTTGCAGAAAAAACAACCACAAAGGGTGTGTGTGTGTCTGGTGGCACACTGAAGACTAACACATTTATTATGCCATGCAATTTTATGGAGATACAATTATGACACCAATGAAGACAACATGATATGTGCTAAGGAGAGTCAATGTAGCATAATGGCTTTTGATGGCGGAGATCAGAGTTGAAATCCTCGCTCAGGCACAGAAACCCACTGGGTGACTTTGGCCAAGGCTGCATCTGCACTGAAGAAATAATCCAATTTGACACCACTTTAACTGCCATGGCTCCATCCCATGGAATTATGGGATTTGTAGTTTAGTGGGGCACCACAGGGCTAAATATATCAACAAAAGTACAAATCCCAAAATCCCATAGCACTGAACCATGGCTGTTAAAGCGTTGCCAAACTGCATTAATTCTGCAGTGTAGATGCGGCCCAGGGTACGCTCTGCCTCAGAAGGGAAAGCCAGGGTGACCAGATATCCTCCTTTTCCTAGACTTGTCCTACATTTCAACCTTCAGTCCTGGAGGAATTCCAAAACGTCCTCCATTTTGAGCATTTCATAACTTAATCTGCTTGGCATCCTGTCCCCATTGCAAAGAGGGGAACAGGATGGATCCTCCTGAAGTTCTTATTTCCTAGGAGGAGGAGCAGCAGCAGAGGCAAGATTTGCACCCAGAGCTCAGGATGCATTTGTTTCTCAGAGGGGGAAAAAAAGAACAGCAAAAGTGTTCGGCAATGGGCCGCTTGAGGACACGGTGCAAATGTTGAGAGTGTTTTCCCCCCTTAATAAATGTTGTTGTTATTATTATTATTATTAATTTCAGCAGGATGGACAAATGAAAGGAATAATTTAAATGCAGATTTAGTCAATGGTTTGTTGCTAATAAAGTTGTCTTGCTCAGAGTTATATAGGTATATTGCAAGCATTTTAATGAAGACAATTTCATCAGAAAAAAACTTGGTTGAGCACATAATAAAATGCAGGATGTGTCATGCAGCTGTAAACAAACCACAGGCAATGAATTTATACTTATATGAGTGCTTTTAGGCTTTTATTGTGTGATGTCCTACATTTTGCAGTGCCTTGTCCTCCTTTGTGTTTATGGCATCTGATTTTGTTGTTGTTGTTGTTGTTGTTGTTGTGTGCCTTCAAGTCTTATGGCGACCCTCAGGCAAAAACCCTTCATGGGGCTTTCTTGGCAAGCTTCCTTCAAGGGGGGCTGGGTTGTCATTGCCTTCCCCTGAGGCTGAGAGAGTGTGACTTGCACCAGGTCATCCAGTGGGTTTCATGGCCCAGTGGGACCCTGGTCGCCAGAGGCGGAGTCCAACGCTCAAACCACTAGGCCGCAAGACCCAACTCAATTCCGCAGACATTTCCAGAGCCTGAAGAACAGTCCTTGAAGAGGTGCTGCCCTCCAGCGGACAAAGCCTGTCACAAGCGCACTGAAAGGAAGCACGTTAAACGAAGTAGAACCCTCTGAGCCGCGCGACCATGCGCGAGCTCTCTGCTCATTGGCCCGCCCTTCGCCAATCCCCTCCCGCAGCTCCATGAGAGGCGGCTCTTCCTGGTTTCGCTCTCTTCAGCCTCCGAGGTTGCGCTTTCGCTTTTCCTTCGCGTCGTTCTATTAAGAGCCTTTGCGCTCGCCGTAGTCAGGTGACCTACGCGGTAAACTGTTGCCGGCAGAGAAAGAGAGCTCGAGAGAGAGTTTTTAAAAAGGCCGAGGCGGTTGTTGGGCGTTGCCATGGCTCCGGACCCCTGGTGAGTGGCGGGCCTCGAGCAGGCGGGGGCCTATTCTATCCCTGACTCTGAGGCTGCATCTACACTGGAGAAACAATCCAGTTTGACACCGCTTTAACTGTCATGGCTCCATCCTGTGGGATCCTGGGATTTCTGATTTTGTTGTTATGGTGTGCTTTCAAGCCCTTTCTCGCTTATGGCGAACCTCAGGCGACCCTCTCCTAGGGTTTTCTTGGCAAGGTTTGTCCAGAAGGGGTTTGCCTTCCCCTGAGGCTGAGAGAGTGTGACTCGCCTAAGGTCATCCCAGTGGGTTTACGTGGCTGGGCTGGGAACCGAACCCCGGTCTCCCAGTGTCCTAGGCCAACACTCGCCTTGAATCCCGTTGTGAGAGAAAGGCGGGATGTAAACAAATCCTTGAAACAAGCAAACAAATACATAAACAAACACCCAAAGCACTACGCCTCGCTGACTTACCTGAGCTCTCTGACAGCGAAGGCTAAATATCCCACTAAACTACCAATCCCAGAATTCCATAGCATTGAGACAGAGCAGTTAAAACGGGGTCAGAGCGCGTTCATTCTGCAGTGTGAGGATGAGGCCTAATTCGTAATCCCTGCTCTGTTGGTGCTGCTTCCCACTTTGCTGACTGCCCTCCAGCGTTTAACTCTCATCGCCCTCGTTGAACTGGGAGGAGGAAAGAGAAACGGGGCATCTTTTAAAGTGGGGTCAAAATAAATCAAAATGAATACATAACTTAATAGGGAAAATGGGAAGGTATGTTACTGTCGTGGCTGTCTTTGCACCACAGACCGCTGAGAGAAGGGCATGCTGCTTTCTCTTGCTTTCTTGCCCACCCTTCTGGCCTCTGGCCTCACCATTCTTCAGATCCTGCCCTTCAGTCCACTGTTTTGGGCTTCTTGTTGCATAGGGCTATTCGATTCATTTCTTTACAGGTGTAGATCTTTCCATTGGCAATCCTGAGGGGAACCTATCACAGGGTTTTCTTGGCAAGATTTGTTCAGAGAGGGTTTGTCTTTGACAAAGTCCCTCATGCTATTCTTGCAAACAAGCTAATAAAATGTGGGCTAGACAAGGTAACTGTTACATGGATTAATTAATTAATTGGTTGACTGACCGAACCCAAAGGGTGCTCAGCAATGGCTCCTCTTCATCCTGAAGAGAAGTGACCAGTGGGGTGCCACAGGGTCCTGTCCTGGGCCCAGTGCTATTCAACATCTTTATCAATGATTTGGATGAAGGAATCGGGGGCAAGCTTCTCAAATTTGCAGATGACACCAAATTAGGAGGAGTAGTTTATACCCCAGAGGAGAGGATCAAAATGACTTTAATAGATTAGAAAACTGGTCAAAAACTAACAAAATGAATTTCGACTGGAAGAAATGTAAGAAACTACACTTAGGGTGAAAAAATGAAATGCAAAGATATAGGATGGCAGTTGCTTGGCTTGACAACAGTACATGCAAAAGGGATCTAGAAGTCTTAGGGGTGTTGCAGACTGCCAGAAATAGTGCAAGTTGAGTCCACTTTTAGGGTTAGGGTTAGTGCTAGGGAATCATGGGAATTGTTTTTTTTCCCTGAGACATTGAGCCTTCTCTGTCAGAGAGCTCTGGTGCCACAATAAAATACAGTTCCCATGATTCCCTAACCCTTAAAGTGGACTCAATTTGCACTATTTCTGGCAGTCAGCAATCTCCCTTAGTAGACCACAAGTTGAACATGAGTCAACAATGTGATGTGGCAGCTAAAAAGGCCAATGCTATTTTGGGCTGCATCAATAAAAGTATAATATCTAGATCAAGGGAAGTAATAGTGCCACTCTATTTTGCTTTGGTCAGGCCTCACCTGGAATACTGTGTCCAGTTCTGGGCATTACAATTCAAAAAGGAAGTTGATAAATTAGAGCATGTCCAGAGGAGTGCCACCAAAATGGTGAAGGGTCTGGAAGCTATGCCTTATGAGGGGAGAAGGGAGCTGGGTGTGGAGAAGAGATGGTTAACAGGTGATATGATATCCCTGTTTAAATATTTGAAGGGATGGCATATTAAGGATGGAGCAAGCTTGTTTTCTGCTGCTCCAGAGAATAGGACTAGGAACAACGGATGCAAGCTCCAGGAAAAGGGATTCCACCTGAACTTTAGGAGGAACTTCCTGACAATGAGAGCTGTTCAAAAGTGGAACATTTTCCCCCAGAGAGTGGTGGAGTCTCCTTCTTTGGAGTTCTTTAAACATAGGCTGGATGGCCATTTGTCACACGGGGTGCTTTGATTGTGAGTGCCTGCATGGCAGAATGGGTTGGTCTGGATGGCCCTTGTGGTCTCTTCCAACTCTATGATTCTATGTCCATTGCTAGTTTTGTGGCATCTATTAGTAATTCAGCAGATCAGTACTACACTTGTCCCTCCCCATTCATGGACTTGGCGTCTGTGGTCTTGGTCCTTCGCGGATGGCAAGCAGGGAGGGATAAAATGGCATGTGTGCCTGAGTGTGTGTGCAGCACTGCACGCATGAGCGCACAGCCTTTGTAACCAATGGCGACTTGAATATTTTGCATTTTTCCGGATTTGCGGGGGTGTGTGTTGTGGAATGGATCCCCTGTGAATCAGGAGGGACACCTGTAATTCACATATCTGCTCCACAGAGTTGTCCTCTTCTGTTTGGCTGAGGTTGTCATTTTGTTATTGACAAACTCATTTCCTTACATTTCCTGTCTAGAAGTCTTAGAAGTCTTGTACATTATTGTTCAGCTGAAATTCAAGCAATACATTTTTGAAATACAGCCTTTGTGCCTCTATGTGTGCAAATTAGGCAACTTGCACACATACATTTTAACATCATTATGGATATTGTAGAGGGATGATGGCTGACATCCTCCAGAGAATATTAACAGTACTTTACACAGTGCAATTAGTATTTAGACTTAAATGAACTAATTTGTTTGGATCCAGATTAAAAGCCTATACAGATGGGCAGGATGGCACAGGCCAACCCCATAGTATCCTGCCAATGGTTTCAACCTGCTTCTGTCCCTGGACTACTGTGGTGATAATAGAATCATAGAGTTGGAAGACA